TCTTGGTGTTAACTGTTCTAAATAGAAGTTAATCATTCGTAAACTGTGCTTTAATCAATTTACATATTATCTCCGTTATGTTAAATACGTTCATGTTATCTGTTCACATTTCACGACTGCCAATTAGAGTAAATGCGAATCTTTACTTGGACAGCAGGATGATAAAATAAGGTTGGCAATTAGTAGGATATAAGTATACTAATTATTGCATTATCCATAAATACGTATTATTTATGTTAATTCAGTTATCATAATATATCATTTAGTATTTGCCAAACTTGTTTTACCTAAAATCCAAACAAAAAAAGTAAAGGGTTCTTTTTATTGTAGATTGCACATCTGTGCAATGGAGTTTATTATTTTCCAGAAAATTGTATTTTCTTTATTACTCTTTTTACTTTATTTCTCCTATAAAAAAATGCTATACTGACTGAAGGCGTATCTTTAACAAATATTTAATAAAAAGGGAGAAAGAGAGAGAGGCCTAGTATTTACTCGATAAATTGCCTTAATAGGTATTGATATTGAATACATATGGGTAATTCTCTAGTGGCGAATGTGACATTCGTACGCTTTTGAGTTAAAAAAAAAAAAAAAAGAATGCCAAAACATTTTTTTATTTTGACGAATAGTGAATCCTGTAGCTCTTGATTAGCTCTATAATTGGTGCTAAATCTGATTTTAGGCAAATGTTAGTTTTCAAGATAATCACAAAAAACCAAAAGGTTCGCAGGCTACAAAAAACGTAAGTCGCTTATTAAATGAAACCTGAGACAATTAATATTTTTAAATTTAATTTTAAATTATTAGAAATTGGCACATCTTTGCAATATTTTTTATTTGATTCAAAAATATTGAAGAGTTTTTTTTTTTTTTTTTTTTTTTAATAATAAGAATGTCAAATGATGATTGCACAATAAAACCGAGAATGCTAAATCTCATTGATTGCCAAAAGCTTCCAGGCGTTACCATTTTGCACATGCAAAGCTGACCGTTTTCGGGAGTGGACCTGTCTTGACTTGCCTTTCAGCTCTTTAAAGGCATCGTCTAAGCTATCATTGTATAAATCAAGTCTAAACCTGTCCACACACAGGTACATATGTGTGTATACATATTTACTGCACACATTTGTTGGTAAATATACAAAATGATGGCTCATTCTAGGCAAACACCTCCGACAACTTATGCTGTAAATTTTGCATATTTATTTATTTGGCTATTAATTTCCTAAACCTGAGCAACGTTCACATGCAAATTAGTTTCCATGTGTGTATGTGTGTGTATTTGTGTGTGTACGTTTGTGTTTGTGTGTGTTTGTGCGTCGTTCCCGAATACTTAAACGCCTCAAAATAGTTAAAGCTGCTGCTTTGCATATGAATTCTATACTTTGCTCATCCCGATAAATGATCGAAAGGTGGTACCTAGGGTACATGCGCTAGCCCGCCCACCACACCATGCTCTATAAATATTTGCAGGTGCTTTGCATAATGTTGCAAACAAGCCACGAGGTGATCGCGGCCTAGAGATTGGTCCGTCAATTAGCGTGGCTATTGCCTAATCTTGAAAATGTAAGTAAATAGGAATTTTGTTCGATACCAATCTGCTCGTGCTCGCTACTGTTGCTGCGGCTGCTGACGTCATCAGCGACGTTTCTTATTATGCGATAACCAGCCGGGCTTGATACCGAGCGATAAATTCTAGACACGCATTCGCACAAAAGAACCAAACCTATATTAATATTCCGATTTTTTCCTCGTTTTCTCGGACTTTTATGTACACTCAAAGCGTGCTGCCAGCTTTGGAAGTGGCGCACATGTCATATGGCTTTCAGCCATTCAGCTCTGATGGCGGCCCAATGCTCAAACCATTCAATTGATAAGAGGTCGAAACGAAGGCTGCATAGCTGTTACATGCGTCGCTCTCTATTGATACAAAAACTCGTCAAGTCATTGGGAGTCGATTTTTTGAATAACATTAACAATAACAACACTGAGTATGTGTGAGCTGAAGATACCCAGTAATTAGCGTTTTGTGGAAGTCTTATATAGTAAATTATTATGAGACGAAAGATACATAGGGTGTTGACTAGGCAGAGAAGATATCAGAGATGCTGCTATACACTGAATACGCTCTGCTTACCATTTGTACAGGGTATAACACAACAATCAACAAAATGAACAAGTGCAACGCATAAAATTAATCAGCAGACACAATGTCAGTGTCGGCTCCAGCAACATATGAAACGATCAAGAGGCCAGCCAAAGATTGGTGCTGCTGCTGTTGCCGTTGCTGCTGCTGCTGCTGCCATGCTGCTATGGGCAACAGCAGCAACATCAACAGCCGCACCAGCAATGGCAACGCACTAAAAATCGACCACAAGGTCGTACATTTTTGAGGAAACAAAACATAATCGAGACTAACTGATCTGTGTATATGTCTCCCCTTGATGATGTGTGGCCAATGGTCGTTTGCCAAAGATAGCTCCATCGTTAAGATCTCCCTTTAGCCATTATTATTGATATTTCTATTATTTACAACATCGTTTTAAGCCATATTGCAGCAGCCTACAAAGAGAATCCAAATTTATTGACAACGGCTCTATGCAAATTTTTGACGTCTTATTGAAACTTGATTTTTATAGCATTTACTATATAGAGTAGTTTGATTTTTTCTCTTTTTTTTTCTCTATTTTTATTGTAGCGCGCTGACGTCGCCTTGAACTAGTGCGTATACGTTGACTAAAACTAGTATAATAAATAATAATGAATTAAGCAAATACCAACATATCTTTCACTCATATATCAGTCCATAAACGATGTCAAGTGTTAACACTTCCGTGTGGGGTTAAGCAAATGCAACAATCTAATCGTATTTTTTAGCCAAGTAAGTATCTACTACATACGCTCTAAATGGTATTTATAATGAGCAGGAAAAAATTCCTAATAGATGCAAGGTCTCTCAGCTGTTCAGTCAGCGTTTAAATATGTTATTTATTCATGTTTCACTAAGTGCCTTATATGGCTAATTCAGTAGAACGAAGATTTTATTGTTGCCGGCTACGGTAATCTAATTTGCCTTTTATTTATTTGGCTAAATTTTACAGCTACCCATCGTCTCCCCAAAAATTGAAATTTATGCAAGGAAACTGACGAAATGTCCTCCAATCGACTGACGACATTGAGTTCTCACTTCCGCCTTCCAGTCTGTTTTTATTAAAGCTAGTTTGAAGCCTATATCATAAAGCTGTCAATCGAACGATCGGCTACAAATCCAGTTTTTACAATACATTTTACAGAATATATTTCAGAATAATTTATGTATGTTCTTATCAAAATCTGAATATAAATGACAAATCTTGAATATATTTTTTTTTTACAGAAAATTAGCTTAATTATTAACCCACTGATCTACATAAGTCGCAATTGAGAAAAATCTGTTGAAATTCCTCAACTCTTAATAGAGATCTCCAATCTTTGGCCTGCCAAATTTTTATTATATTTTATTTATTTATCTTTGCTCCCTGGCTTTGTGCTTCACTGTAATTAAAAGCAATTTGTTAATAATGTTTGTCACCTTCAAAATGAATTAAAATGTTAATTTGCATTCATTATTTATAAAGTGAGCCCCGTTAAATACAAATATTTTATGCCCGATTTTCAACCTATTAAAAATTGAAGACGTCTCGTTTGATAAAAAAAAAAGACAATAATTATAGAACCTTATTAATTTTGAATCATTGCTTAAAATTTAAAAAACTTTCTATTCTCAAAAATATATTACGCCTTTCATTAATATCCAATCAATTAACATTATGGACATTGCGCATTCTCAACAAGTTCAGAGTTCGTTGCCTCAGTCTTTCGTTTAATATTGGCTAGTTGTAAATTTGCATAAGTTAACAGTAAATAGCTGTTAATTGCGACACAACTAAAGGCAAACATCTAGAACCTACAACCTACAATCAATTATCGCACCGGCACTCAAACAGCAGAGATGTGCCTGAGGCAAGTATCAAAATAAAACACAATTATTAGATGCTCTAAAGGGACTGCGAATGCAAAGGCAAATCGCAGCCATAATCAAAAGGTGGCTTTAATGAACAGTCATCCATCTGCTGGCGACATCATCACCATCAACTCTTATTATTATTATTGTTTAATATTATTGCAATGGCAGTTGGCAGTTGGGGTTTTGCAGTTGCATTTTGACAAATCATTTGCTCAATACCAAGGGTGTAGCGATTGACCGAGTCATGCGCAGTACGTAGCTAAATCAAAGGGGGTGGGGGGTAATGTCAATATATAAATAAATATATATTAATATATGCTTTWGACATTAGCCAAACTTCTGGCCTCCAATTTTTGGCGCTGTCATCGTTGCCGTGACGTTCTGCCCAGCCAGCTTCCCTTGCTCTCTTTGGGTGTTTCACCTTGCCATTATTGTCAAAATGTTGAGCGACGACCGTGGCCACTTAAGCAAATGAAGTCAAATTTGAAAATCAGCCGGGCACAATAAAAAAATGAATTGAGAAACACAAACATAGTTGAAATGCAGATGATTTCTGCGCGAAGGTGTGACCGACCACGCATGTGACCCCAATTGGACGCAAAATTAAAAATACTATGTCACAGAGTCGGAGCCAGACCCAGAGCCAGAGCCAGAGCCAGAGTCGGAGCCAGATGTCACCAAAAAGACCACAAGCTACACATAAGAAACTGTGTCGCCCAGCGCTGTACTTGGCCAACGTGCGAACGGATGTGCAGCACAAATCTTGGCTGTTAGCTATTTGTTTTCGTTTTCGGTTTCTCTAGCTCCCTCTCCCTCTCTCTCTCTCTCTCTCTCTCTCTCTTTCTGGGAGTCTTTCTCTCTGTCTCACCCTCTCTGCTTGATAGTAAGATAATTTAACTAGCCCGGCAGGTTGACGGTCGTGCTGTTTGCGCCAAGACAACAGCTATAAAATCATAAATAAATAAATTGCGCGCATGCGTTACCAACGCGACGTCAGCGCTGAAGCTGAAGCTGAAGCTGAAGCAGAAACTGAAGGGCACTCGGCCGATTTTACAAATATGAGAAATTGGTTACAGTCCGGCCAAAAAGTTTCGATTTCATATGGGGGTACAGACAAGACATTCACGCATTTATTTGCGTACTGAGTAAACAGTGTATCTTGCCGTTTAGCACTTGCTGGCCGCCTTTTCACAAACCTCGACCAGATTGCTCCCAAAAGAAAGATATATACCCACATATATACATATTTTGTCGCTTTTCACGATGATATAATGAATGAAATGAAATTTGCATCTGCCCAAATTATGTGTAGTATGTATTTACAACATTAACATCAAGTTGTTACTGTTGCGTGGTTGCATCGAGATAAGTCAACAATCGACGATCGACGATTAACGATCATCTGCCGCAGCTCATTTCGGTTGATCAATCACCGTAAAGAAAAAGAAAATCATTTACATATCAGTGATTGACTTCAGTGATTGACTCGGCTGCAGCTCACGACTCGGGCCCCATATGTATTACAACTAAAACTTTAGTTCATGTTGTAATCTGGTTTCGGTGATGCCCAAGCTGTGTTATTTTTGTTGTTTCTCTTTTGTATACAATACATTTTCATGGGAGCTCGAAATTGGTCCACAAACACGCGCGACTCTTTCGCAATGAACCAAAGAAAACAAAACTGGCTCAGTTTTGAAACATTGTTGATATGAAATTTCGATTTAAACGCATCTCGTATTCATATTAAATTCATATTTTGTAAAAATTAATATAAATATTTTAGGTTTTTCTTTGTAAGTTCTGCACTTGCCTTTTGCTGTATTCGGATTATTAATATTATAGACTATATATGTGTATATCGATTTATATATAGTGGCACGACACTGCACACGGCACTATTTGAGAGCACAGAGAATCCTTAAGCGCGCGTTTCGTTATCCTCGCACAATATTATATAAATTTGTTATATCTATTCTAAATTCTATGGAACACGCGGCGCTTCACAACAACAGCAGCAATATGAGGGAATTAGTTTTGCCAGTGGGGCCAACTTCACGCTTTTGCGCTTACTTTGCGGTTAAAGCGCCGGCAACAAACTAAGCGACATCCGGACGCGACAAGCCGTCTTCTATGCGCCGCTGCAAACACAGACACACAGCCACAGGTGCACACACATACACGCACACACATACAGACTCGATCGATCGGACACGAGACGAGTGCCGAAGCCGATCGCCGATCTGTACCAGCTCGTTAATTTAGCCACAAGAATGTATGTGGCGATCGCGTCAGTTCTGTATAAGCGAACAGGTAATCATTCGTGTGTATGTGTGTGTGTGTGTATGATTGTATAATAGCTCATGTGTGTGTGTGTGTGTCTTTGGTTATGCTATTGGCATTGCATGTTTTTGAGGGCATGTGTTCTAGGATTTTATAATATTAATCGATCGGACCCTAAGCTGCACACAGTATTATAAGGTAATTATCGATCGGTGATTAGCGTTAAGTATATGCACATACATAAGTTATTATTAGAAAGCAATAATTTCTATCTATTGTTGTCGAACATTGTAATTATCAACGCCTTCAATGAGTCTGTTTTTTTGTTTTTTGTTTTTTTCGTATAATTTTATTGCAATTTTGCTGGCGTTTGACTGATTGGGTATGGCATAACTTTGTCATATATCTTCGCTGACAAAGTAGCAGCAGCCAGCTTCCGAGCCCTACTCTTGGGCTGGAGTCGAGTGGCCCAGGCAGCGCCCACAGGCGACCCATATGACGCTAAGTGTGCAAATTATTGTGCAATTTAATGGCACCAAGAGGCCTCAACCACAAGACCAAGCCAAGCTGACGCGACTAGGTGAAACCGCAGACAAGGCAATCCAAAAACTTCCAGTGGCCACTTGCAACTTTAAGCAACGTCATCATCAAGCTGGGCCACGGTGTCATTATGTAGGCGCTGGCATGAATATGACTGCGACTCGAAGTGCTCAGGCCCTGCCCATTAGAAGCTAGCACACTAGAAACAAAGAGAAGTCCACAATGGCTGGCATTTGCCACCAGCCAAAGAGCCAGACCCACAATGCGGCGCATGCTGCAATTCGGCACTTGCCGGAGTTGCCTTGGTACCCGTTGGTGTTAATAACTCAGAGAGCTCAGAGCGGCTGCTAATTGATGTGATGTGTCGACTTCACAAATAAGAATTTGAATGCATTACTTTTAATTTCGATTTCATTAACGATTCATTCATAGATTTTTGAGCAGCGCCCAAATCGGATTTTGGTTACGTTTCAGCTTCCGCAATTTTGAAGGTGAAGCCCGAGTTAATTATGCCAGGCGCGTGTGTGTTGTTTTGCTAGTAAGTGTCTGTGTGTTTGCCTAGCTCAGGGAGGAGGGGGGTGGTTCGTTGGCGTTGTACATGCGTTTCATTTCAATTACCAAACAGCTGCTGGTCACACTTTTGTCGTCAATGTGCGCATAATACCATATAGAGGTGAACGAATTTTGACGCGTGCCTCAGCTGCTTAATCAGTGCGCCTAAGCTTAAAGTGTGCCGCTAGTAGCATCACTAGACCAATAATAATATCATATAAGCCTGATTGAATCATCTAAACTGGTCTATGGCAACTCGAATTGGTTTAAAATCGAAAATCGCTTACAGCATTTGCATATGTTGTGCTCTTATCGAGCATCAATTAAATCAGTTTTCAACTCAATGTCACACGTTGGAAACAAAAGACTTAAGACACAAACTTGTGTACAAGCTACCATGTGTGTGTACCATGTGTGTGTGTTTTTTTATGTGTGTGTGTTTGTGTTTTTTGTACCCCGCTATAACGACTCATACGATTAGTGAGTTTTTTTAGTTTATTTAAATAAACACACACACATACAAACATGTGTGTACACCCATATATCTTATAGCATCTTTACAAAACATCGAATCGGACCAAAATTGGCAGTCCGCAAGCTGCCAAGCTCAAAGCAGCTCCGAGGCGTTTTCTTTTTACTGCTCCGTCCGTCTATTATACGCTTTTAATGTTTTTGAACTTGAACCATAACTTGACTTCTTTCCCATTTGATAATATGAGCTCACTAATTGAGATTATATTAAAAATCTATTTATGAGCCATATTAAATGGCGGGATTCAGTGGAGTGAAAAAAAAAAAAATAATAATAATAATAGAGAAAAAAGTAACTCGCAATTGTCACGCTGATTAGAAGTCTCACACACACACACACACACAGGCACGCATGCAACGACTTTGGGGTCTATTCAGCCTTGACCATAACACTTATACGCCAAAAACCTTGAAAGACACAAGTTGATTACCGTTGCCTCTGACTGTCTGTATTATTGATTTAGACGCATGAAATCGGCTGAAGAAAACCCATTAATAAAATCATAAAATCAATAAAATTCAGAGGGTCTTGAACTCCATGCACAGATACCGACATTGAAGATCAATGGAGCTTCCGAGTTGCTCAGAAAGCATATTCAATATAAAAAATCAATTAGAATTAAATACACCGAATATGCAATACCCTGACTGAATAAAAGACCATAAAAGATAGAAGTAAAACATTGGGAGAAAATTGATATGATTCAATTGACAATTGATATGCTTGGGTGCCTAGACCTGCTAATTGAGTTACTAATCGACCTGCTAATGGATTTGGTCATCAAAAACATCTGAAGTCATCTTGATTCAAATTTCATCCCATTCACATTTTCAAGTTACACGCATCCAGCATGTCTAGCTCTTGCTACCCAATGCTAGGTCTATATAATGATCCCATTTGATTGTCGCATTAAATATAATGAACAAAATTATAGCTCACGCGTATCACGTACAACTTAATTGAAAGTGAAAGCCCAAAATTGTTGGCGATTGCCATGTGTTACAACTTACAACATGGACCAGCACGAGATTTACAATACAATAGTGAGCTACAACTATTATAGCTATAAGAGACCGAGAACAAGTTCGCCCTTCGCCGCAGGCGATGTCCCAGATAAGATCAAACACGACTCTAAGTTTAGCCTCATGTTTGACCTGTATGTAAAACCGAAAAGAAATACCTAAACGCCAAAACGAAAATGTTTTATGCATTTATAAAGCTAATCGTTTGCAAAAATTTTAATCGGATGAAATAACTGTAATTTGTAAACAAATCTCATATATGTATATGAATAAGCATTCAGCATCTGTTTTCTCTATTTCTCTTGAATAATTTATACTGAACTTGAAATATAAAAGAAATACAAACTAAATTCTTTAATACATAAGTAGCTGTTACTAAGACATTAATAATTGCATAATTAAGAATGGGGCTTAAAAAAAAATTATATATATATATATGTATATATGCTTAATGATCTATCATAGTGTCAATATAGACAAGAAACTTGAAGTAGAACCAAAAAGAGCTGAATAATAACAGACTGGCAAGTCAGATCTAACGCAGTCGATCGAGTCGATCCGGCGGGTCAAAGTCAACTCTTGAGCCAAATTTCTGCCAGTCATTAGCAAGCAGCGCGTTGCCCTCGCTGTCTAACCCAAGACCAAAACAAACAAACCGCCAGTATATGAACTAAACTAGTAACCCGGTCGCACTTGCCGCCAAAGATTTCGATATGACGAAGCTGGAAGGTGCGCATTAAACTGAAGTAATGAAGAGCATCAATTAAGAACATCAGCATTAGATGAGGAAACTCGCCTGCGTTCTGGCCCGTTGCGATTTCACGTGAGCCAATATGTTTGCCAACACATCAGGGCCTACTTCACCTTGAGAGCCTAAGCGACTTCAGTTAGAAGCAAAACCGAACAAAGCAAACCAGCTTTTAGTCAAAACTCTTTTAATGCATGCAGAACGCAATATTTCCATGCGAGTTATACTGACAATAGATAATAGAATGGCATGGAATAGAATCTAATCAGACACATTGATAATAAATAAGCAACGCCTTTTATAACAATGTTTATTACTTTATATTTTGATTCACGGAAATACTATTGCTTCAAATATGATTTTTTTTTTTTTTAATTTCTGAATTTGAAGGCTTAAAGTTAAGTTGCTAGCTTGATAATATTTATACCCCTGACCGCAACGCATGTTTAAATGCTTTCTTAAATTTTCTTTGCGATATCTCCAAATTGAAAAAGAAAAGTAAAATATCAAATTACAGCATTATCAGCAATGTGTACGAAATATTCAAAGATTATCGTATAATTCTAAAAAATAATATGTAAAAGATAAATTTTATAAATAATTATATTAAGCTACTGCAGATTTCATTCGATTATAATAAATGTGGTTTTTCTAAGTATTTAATAACGTAAGTTTTGCAATCACCATTCCGGAAATAGATTATTCTTCATCCATCATGAATGTTGGCTTTTTGTATGAATCCAATTAACAAAGAACAAATGCGTACCGAACGCTAAAATGGTTGCATTGTCAAACGGCGCTACGTCTCTCATTTTTGGTGCCTGTATGTGCAGATGGTTTGCTTTCTCGCGAGTGCGCATGTATGATTGTATGTGAAGATTGTAGTTTTTGTAGTTGCTAGATTCTTTAGAATGTTATAGGCTCGATTGGCACGGTGCATTCGCCGACTGTGACACGATACATAGCCATTTCCGAGATGCCATGGTAATGCACAAAGGCTGCCGCTATTACGAGCACATGGAAAATTTGATGTGACTGAAACTGTTAAAGGAAATTCATTCGTGAAACTATCAATTAATATATATAAAACAAAATAGAAAAGAAAGCACACATACCCAAATATCAAACTTGCCGGGGAACCAGCGCTCAGGGACGCGAAGAGCATATAATAATGCACCCAGTATATAAAGCAGGCCTGAAATCAAACAAAGAATTGAGTAAACACATTAAAGAGTTACCATTTCTATTACTTACCCATTAGTATAAGCCAGCCAAGACTAGCTCGGCTAATTTGGCTAAGCCAGCCCTCCATGATGCTATAGTGAATGGCCGGAATGACGCCAGACAACCCAAAACTCATGAATACTCCAGCACGTAGCGGACGCAAAGCGGGCTCCGAAAACTTATCCCACAGCGAGACAATGATAGACAGGCAGCCGAGCACACAAACAACAGACAAGTATATCACCTTTGGCTGGTAGTGACAATAAAAGCCATAGTAAAGCCACGGTACAAAGGAGCCCATTATGAGTAACGCAATTCCACAATAGTCCAGTCTTAAAATTAGAAATTAAATTTCAATTAATAAATATTAATAGATAAGCGAATGTCTCTGGGGCTTACTTGGAAAACAGTCTTCCAATCTCTACAGAATGGCAACTTAATGTATGAAAAGCGAACGAGAATCCCAAGCAAATAATGGCGCCCATAAAGAATGTGCCGAATACCAATTTTTCTTGAAATTGTATCTCAACCGTGGGACGAGACACAAAGTAGAGTGCGACGCCAATGAAAGCAATGCAACCAAGCAGATGTGTCCAGATGTTGCCAGTCTCTGTGTGGACACGGAATATTGATTTGAAGCATGCGCGGAACGAGGGTAATGGCGGACGGTGACCGCGATGCAGGAAATCATTGTCCTGCAACCATTTGGGCAAGTTCCTGTAGTGGCAAACCTTCCAGCTGGCTTCCCAGACCTGCGAACAAGCAAAATGTTTATGAGCATCACGAAATTGCATTGCAAAAAATATATTTATATAATTGATTTATACTTATTAAGCCAATAAGACTGAAATAAATGAGAACAATTTGTTAACAAAGATATTAGTATATTTATTTAAAAATTATGTGAGCTTGCGTTAGTTCCATGTGTAGATACATGATGATTTAAATATACATTTKAAATGAAATGAAACAATAAACAGCCAGTTTTTATTTGGTTTAGCCTTCAGCTTACCTTGCGCACAAACTCTTCGGCCTGCTCGGCGGCATTGTGGGCCAGCGCACCCAGATCGATCTCATCTGAGAGTACGCCTGCCTTTAAGACTTCGGTCATCTAAAAAATAAATGAATGTGATTAAGTTCTAGCACGATCGGAGACTGATTAAAAGCCTTAAAATTAAATACATTTAGCAATTCGACTAACATTGATTTCGCTTGATTTTAATTCATTCGAGTCTTCATAGGGTTCTTGCTCAATTGATTCAGACTCCTGCGTTCCGCTCACGTTAATGACAGCATCAAATTCAGCCCGCGACTGTGCCATTTGGCAACCAATAAAATTTGATTCGAAATAATGAATAGAATATAATTTGCACAAAAAGGCAAGTTTGTACTTTGACGCGCTTCTCGCTCGCCTACTGTTTTTTAAATATTGTGAACAAACTTAAAGCGGAACCAGAGAAATGCGAACGAGGGACGCGATAAGATAAGAGTGAGCAAAATTGATAGATGAACGCAAAATTCTTATCTGCGTCATATTTGTTTTTGTATAGCTTTTTTACGTTTCTGTTTTTAGCTTTTTTGTACCTTGTCGGCAACGAGCGCCCAAATCTAGCGCTCGTAGCCCAATGCGCACCTGAACCCGCAAGGCGTGCAGACAGCAATAAGTTATAAATATATATATTTGTTAACTGTATATACAGGTGTGGGTGGGTGTTTCGTCGAAGAGAACACACAGGTGGCTGCCTGGCGAGTTCAACGATATGATAAGCTCGGTCGCGGCACTCAAAGTGCGAGCAATCGATTGCAATGCGAATGCTCAAATACATACGTATGTATATTGTTATATATTATATATATTTTGTATAGGCAACAGTGGCCACTGGGTCAGACGGAGATAACAGAGCGCGTGCTGGGGCAATTTAGTTTTGCATACAGCTGATTGTGGCTGTGACATTTAACTTACCTCGGCCTCTATCAGCTGAGTGTCCTCTGGCGTCGAGGGCAGCGGGCAACCGGCATCATCTTCTTCAACGAGCTCATCGTCATCCTCGAGCAAATCCAGATCAAGACCACTGGGACTGAGAGAATCCTGTGGTCCCCAGCCACGTCGTTTGCGCAGTATCATTGTCACCTGTTCAAAAATATCCTCATCCACATCATCGCCAGCGGCGCTCTGCGCCACAGGTGTATTCGTCATCTCTGCCGACGAGGCCAAACCAGAATCTTGATCGTTGCCGCTGGGATTGATGCTGTTGCTGGCCGTCTCCTTATCGCTGCCAGTGCTAATGCGCTCCAGCAGATTTGTAGAGGATTCCATCACAATTGTCTTAGCCTCTAAACGAATGAGCTGAAGGAAAAACAAAAAATTATACAAATATAGGTATTATTAAAATTTAAGACAAACTTTTAAATGGAAAATTTTTTTTTTTTGAAATTCGTATACACAGAACACACATATAAAATTTACAATAATATCAACAGACTAAAATTTACATCTTACAAATATCCGACTAATTCGACCTTTGTTCCGCATATAATTAGTCTCATCCGTGAATATGTATGTATGTATGTATACCAGTGCACGTGTATGTGTGTATACACCTGTATTGTTGTTAGTTGAACATTTAAAATGTGGTCGGGGCGGGCAGGAAAGTGGAGTGCGATATGGCGAAAGCAACAAAGCACAAAAGCTATACTGTTGTAAGCAGTAGCACTTAAGTGGCAATTAAAATGTTTAAACCTTTATATAAGACCCTCAATTTTCATCGCCAAATGCGTCAGGTGGGCAAAGAAAATTTTAGGATGAATAGAATCACCATTACTGGCTCGAAATGTATCCACTTTTGTTAACGTCATTTAATTAATATTCATTAAATTTTTTCATCTCATATGCATATTTTCAAGGTTTTTGTGTGGATACTGGATATTTTTATCACGTTAAGGGAAACTTCGTCGACTTCAAACCTGAGCTCTGTCTTAATACTTGAGCTTATTGATAGAGTAACGTTTATGTGTTTTTCATCAACTTACCTTTTTCCTCACTATCAAATATGAAGGGCTAATCCGTGGGTGAAACGATCCGTATGGAGTGCAAACGGAAAGTTTTATTAAAAAATTAGGCCAATTTACGTTTTTCTCCTTCTACAATATAACAAAGAGTGTGGCCATACATCAGTATCTGGTGCAGCTTATTTATTTCGACTTCAACTTATCGATGGTCGGTCGGTATCTACTAAGCCTTTTCCATTCTGAACTAAATTTGTTTTATACACCTTATATGCCATGCAAATTATGAGCAAAACCTGAACTTGAAAGCAAATATTATGAATTTAATATTAAATAATTTACACCGCATTGCCTTTCAGTGTTGGGAAGTCTAATGAATGTTTTCGGTATTTTCCACGTTCCAGTTTGCGGCCCTACTCAGCTCAAAGAAAAACAAAGTGGCTAAAAATAAGATATACTACATAACAAATCGTACTTCCTAACTTATGTGATAATCTTGTAAAATATGATAGCATCAAATAAAGTCATCAAACACATATGTAATTTACTCTTTGTTAATTTATCGATTTTTATTTAATATGCTAATTGTTAATCGAACAGCTGTTACCAACAACCAAAACAAACATTAAAATTTCCGCCATTTCAAAGAGAGTTCCCGCTCTTTTACTATTTTCGATACGGATCGTGATCGGTCGGAGGCGTGTTAGTTCGGGAAATCTGTCTTACTGTACAGCAGCTGCATTTCGTTATTTTTGCAATTTCACGAATAGCTTCGTTTGAAGATCTGCATATAGATTTACTTATAGAATACATATATTTTTAACGCACAGATTCTAGTTTGGCAGCGATGATGGCCACAGCAAAAGGAAGCGCATCCAATGGCCGAAAGTTCGCTGAGGGCACGCAGCCTTTCACAGTGCTAATTGAGGGAAATATTGGCAGCGGCAAGACGACATTCTTGAACCACTTTCAGAAATATGAGAAAGACGTCTGCCTGATCACAGAGCCCGTTGAGAAGTGGCGTAATGTGAACGGTGTTAATTTGCTTGAAAAAATGTACAAAGATCCACAGAAATGGGCCATGCCCTTTCAGTCATACGTCACACTAACGATGCTTCAAGCCCACACGGCAGCCACTGACAAAAAATTGAAAATCATCGAGCGCTCCATTTTCAGTTCACGGTAGTCCGAAAATGATTAACTCTAATTTGAATTCCAACTAACTTTATTTTATTGTGGCAGGTATTGTTTTGTTGAGAATATGTATCGCAATGGATCCCTGGAGCTTGGCATGTACAATACGCTGCAGGAGTGGTACAAATTCATTGCCGAGTCGATACACGTGCAAGCTGATCTGATTATTTATTTGCGCACTTCGCCTGAGGTTGCATACGAACGCATACGACAGCGTGCACGCTCCGAGGAGAGCTGCGTACCCCTAAAGTATTTACAAGAATTGCACGAGCTGCACGAGGATTGGCTAATACACCAGCGCCGTCCACAACAGTGCAAGGTTTATTAGAGACGAATTTATTCACGTGGTCTTAAGAGTTTCTAAATGGCTTCTATTTTTCTAGGTCCTTGTGCTGAATGCGGATCTTAATCTAGAGAACATAGGCACCGAATATCAGCGCTCTGAGACGAGCATTTTTGACGCAATCTCTGGTGCGCAACAGAACCAGCCGGCAGCTGTGCTCGTGTCGCCCAGCAAACGCCAAAGGTTATCCAGTTAACCAATGATTTAACACGAGTTGGCTAATGACTCCATTTTAATTTGTTAGACCGCGATAAGTTAAATGCTAGTAAATGGAATCGTAGCTGAAATTCACCGATTCTTTCAACGTAGAACGTAACTTTCCTATTTCACATTTATTTGTAATTCCAATATACATACATATGTACGTTTCAATGTGTGTGTGTGTGCACGCAGAAGATAGTTTAATTTGTAATTCAATTTATGACGCCTGCAAACCTGCTTCGCTATACGAATATGTAACAACTGTATGTTTTATAAAACTAAACTCTAGTCTAAGCTAAACTATTTAATAAAAATATATTCGCCTATTAATTAAGGTCTATGTATCTTTATGTTATCACAAAATGTATCTCAATTAGCTGCATCTATTTAACAATCGATCTCTGCGCCGCCGTTTTTTAGAACTGCCTCCACACGCCATGCCATCGTCTCGTATAGCTGCTCAATCTTGTTGACCAGCTCCTGATCGCTGTGCCAGATGTCGTAGAGCACCGATCGAAATTCGTTGACATTTTGAGGTGCCTGATCCTGTATTTTGGGCTGTATTATGTTCATTAGTTGCTCCAACAGATTCAAATCTTTGCAATCACCGCAGTCTGGGCCCAGCAATGTGTCCACATATATTTCCTTGGGCATTGTGCCCATCGTAGACTTGTGATCGTCCATATTGAAGATATTGCGCCAGTCCTGCACAGTCCACTCCGCATGAGCGCGCGCCCATTCCAAGCGCCGTTGCCGAACTGTCGCACTCAAAGTCCCGTTCTTTGCCGGAGACTGGCGCGCCCTAATCTCACTGATGCGTCGTTGTAGAGTGCGCCGACTGACCTCAATGCCAAATTGATTCATAAGCTCGCGCTGCACATCTATGGACGTGTAGTGTGGATGCTCACTCAGCATCTTCTCCACCAATTTGCGATTCTCGAACACCTTCGGCCGTCCCACCTCTCGTCTATTCTGTAAATCCGGCAACGGCCGCAGCTTTAGCTTTGGCATTTTGCTATTGCTTAGCTCCGTCTCCGTAATGCAGCTGACGACGCTCTCCACATCACACTCCAGCATTTGTGCGATTTCCTCGTAGCTATAGTTATCCTTCAATGACTTTACAATGTTCCTCGTCACAGTATCGAGCACCATCGCGACTTGTTGGTCGTGCCAAAATCAAAGATCGACTGCGTTAGCTTCAGACTCAGCGGCATCTTTATATATACATACATACATATATCTGTTTGTAGTTGCAGGTAAATTTAAGTTTAACATGCATCTGCTCGGGTTTATGACGTGCAAGCTGTCGAGGATTAACTACATGTTTTATGACCCACATTTGCAAGCAGGTATTAACGGTTTCTACTTGACCCAGCTAACGCATACGATTTTTCAGAGGTCCGAAACTTGGACAATATTTTTGTCCAGATTATTTTTGGACCCTTGTATTTTCTGCCCAAAATCAACGATTAGATGTTTAAGTCTTCCATCAAATCAATTATCTCCTTAGAGAAAATCAGCATAATATTAACGATCGAAGTGTAACTACATATATCTTACTCAACAACATTCTTGCCTGATTCATACAAAAAGACTCAGATTTGGAATTTCTTTTCCGTACTTGCCATTTAATGTGAAGACGATTTCATGTTGACGTATTCGTAGAATTACAAAAATAAATGTAAAAAACTTGTACATGTGAGTTAGTTATTTCTACAATAGGAAATGCATCACTGCCAAATGTCAAATATTTTTAAAAATATATATATATGTTTATATATGTATGTATGTAGGCCAGTTATGTCTTTTTATATTCACACATTCATTTGCGACGAATGCCATGCGAAGTACTACTATTCATATTGTGCCAAAGGCCTCAAGGCCTTTATAGAACGTATAACATAGGGGGAGGGCTGGCTTTTAGCTGGGCACTAGTGTGTGTTTAAATATAAATGGAGGAAAGGCAACCACATAAGCTCTTAGTGAGCCCATCTATATGCCAATGGGTGTTTGGGTGAGGATTGTTAGGGTTAGTAGCGGTAGCTCGATTGGAATTATACAATTTAATAAATAACGATAAAGTATGCCTAATTGGATTCCTACATTCATGTGGCTAGGTTTTGATTTGTTTTTGTTGTTTTGTTGTTTTTTTTTTTTTTTTTTTGATTGTTTTTGTCCCGGCGCAACCAAGTACCAAGCAGCTGTGTTTGATAATATTTTGTCGTTTGTTGTGGGCGCCACGTTAGTCATCAAGATCAATATCGGAATCATCGGAGTCATAGCCGCCGCGTATTGTCTTTTGTGCGCGATTTATGAACGGTTTGCGCTTAACATCTGGTGGTTGCATTAAGTCACCTTTGTACTCAATGGCGCCTGAGTGGGCGATGCGCCATTCAAGCATCTCTGTGGAAAAGTCATCGCAGTTACCCAAATCAGTGAAGCCTACGATGAAGTCCTTGGTTTTACTATCCTTAACCAAAGCTATTGTTGGCAGCACTTTGATGCGTAGACGTTGTGTCAAGAATGGAGTCTTCTCGGCGTTCACCTTGCAGAATTTGGCCTCTATATGCTTGGCAGCGAGTATTTTCAGATGCATGTCGACAATGCGACTGCGTTCAGAGCTATCTCTATAAAAGTGACACACAATATTTGGCGACTTCTTGGAAACCTCGAAGAACTCCTTCTCATCGGCTAGCTCAGAATAGGTCCCGTGACCCTAAAACAAACATAAAATTAAAATTAAAAACAATGAGATGGGATTCTTTTAGACTCACGTTTCTTAACCACTCCTGCTTTTTATTGTTTAACTTTTTCATTTCCTGTATGCGCTTCTCTCGCAGGGCTTTCAAATCATCCGAGTCAAAGCTGTCCAGACGATCGATCTCCTGATCCAACTGTTGCTCAATCGCTTGCGCCGCAGCAAACAATTGATTTTCCACTATTTGCGCCATGTCTCCAATGTGTGTTCGACTGTGTAGGAGGTGCACTTGCTGCTGCTGCTGCTGGTGGCGACTATTTTGTATCTATTTTGACTGCTGATGCCTGCTTGTGCTTGTTTGTGTGTGGTTCTGAGCAGTACGCACTGCGTGTTTACGTGTGCGAGTGTTTTACAAATGTTGTTTGGTGTATGCGTGTGCATGTGTGTTCATGTGTGTTCATGTGTGTGTGTGTGCGTGTGTGTCCGGCATAAATGAAAGGCGTATCCAAATGCAGATGCGTCATGTTTTGTTGAAAATTCAATAAAGTAACCAACATTAATACAAAAGAACATTGTTTGTGAGCTGAGGTTGCCATAAATCATACACGGAGCAAATACTTACATTAATTTCACACTGATTTCATTGATTTTTAGAGAAAATTCGAATAGCTTATTTATTAGCTGTGTGGGATGTCGATTGTACAAGTGAATCGATTATCTTCACAATCGGTGTGGCTGCATTCTGAAAACATAAAAATGTCCAATTAGTTGTATGACAAACAAGAAGTATTTAGCAGTTAAAGACGGAATAAATATGTCATGCCAGCCCAATCTTCATGTTGTTTTACACCAAAAATTAAGCAGCTAAACAGCTATTAGAAATTTAAAAAAAAAAAAAAATAATAATAATAATAAAAACGAAAAGCACTAACCGCACCAAACAAAAAATGGATTTGATATGAGCTCACTAATATTTGCCGATTTAAGACGACTTGATGATTGTTTCTTTATGCCGGTGACACAAATCTCCCTTTGAATTTAAACATGACCTATTTGAAAATAAAACTTGGTATTTTTATATACATTGCATGAATATAATAATAAATTACTGCACATTTAGTACGGTAAATACAAATACATTACGAATATGTATAATTTTAATTTTTCAACCGTTACCCATTTGAATGTCAAAAATTCGAAAATTACATTAGTCCTAGTTTTTTCACGTAAGCTCAAATCGGGGTGCCGACTGGAATCTTAGAATAATTGTCTAACTTTAATAATTGTTGATCACTTGCACATAAAATTGCAATTTTATTTTATTATTTATTCCATTCGCTTGGTCAACTTGTCTAAAGACACTTTAAGCCCGATTGACTGATAGAAGGTCTGTTGAGTTAATAGCGAGACGCATTTTTTAGTGCGCGTTTTATTTAAATTTGTATAAAAATGAATCACGTTGATAAAATGATTAAAAATTAATCCCATTTATGAAACTTTGTCAAAGTACAAGTATTTATATATTTTTTCTTCCATTTAATCAAATATAATATATATAGGTTACAGTTAAGTATAAATTGTTTGATGTATTGTATTCGAATGGGGATGCGATTGGATTGTCTACTCACTCTCCTCATTATCTTCTACAGACCGCTCCAAGCGATTGGCTAATTTAAAATAAAAATTAATAAATTAATAATGAATACATATAACTAATTTTAATTATTTTTCATACTAAATGAGTTTGTTATATCCTCACGAATGGCATCTGTTAAATTGGTAGCTGCTGCGGTAAGTTTATCGATCACAGCTGAAATACAATTCAACATATCGTTTCGTTGATGTTCAGTCAATTCTGAAAATAAATTTAGTTTCGAGTCCCAGAAATATAAAAGTTTTCCATTCTTGCCATTCGGTGCCAAACAATTCTCCAGCTCTCTGAACATCTGCAGAAAAAGAATGAATTTGAAAAAGTATATGTATATTTAGTGATATGTGTATAATCCTCACATCGATCAATATTTCATGGAGTTGTTTGGTTTTCCAATAATTTTTTGGCCTCGCATCTATTTGCCAGAGTAGTATGGTTTTGATGTAGTAGCTCTTCATGGTGCTGATATTTTGCTTTGAGTCGCGGAACTTCTTCATAAGCCTGATAACGTCCTTTAGTTTATAATTGCCTTTCAGCATGGCGCATTCGGCCTCATCGTAAGAAGCCCTAAAAAACACATTGTTGTTCTGGAATTGCTTTAAGGGCTTCGGAATCGCGCTCCAATGGGAGATATTTCGAAAATATTTCCTACGCTCTTGGGCCAAAACATTTTGCTCTGCTTTCAGCCTGATGGCTGGCACAAAGTCCACAGAGTACTTCATATTGCGCTCATTAATGAACAGCGTAAATGCCGGTCCACATCGCCTATAGACGAGTGGCGTCACTTTACCATCGACTTCGATTTGTTTATTCATCTTATTCAAAGCTCGCGTCACAGCGCCGTTTATCAAGTCCTGCAACTTGTTCTCGACCAGAAAATTTTGACGACTCACGATGTTCTTCAAATTCACGAGGGTGACTTCATTATGACGTTGCTTGTGCAGCGCTTTCAGCACATTCGTCATGTCCAGGATTACATGGCCAGCTCTAGTGTTGTTCTTTCTCACAATAATCTTGTCATTCTCTGGAAATGTCAAGTGCAATACCAAATCAAACTCATCGGGCTTGGTCACTTTCAAGTTATCTGCGTAACTTCCTGTGTGTGAAATACATAGAGGAGACATAAGGTTAAGGATAAGACGAGAAGGTCATCAAGAGATGATAAACGTTTCTATAGACCACGCACCACCTAGCTTATGTCCGCATAACCATTTCCCCAGTGGCTCCTCCTGCCTTAGCATGGAATAAAGCTGATCACGTAGCCTGCCATAGTGATGGGTGTACGATCTTCGATTTGCGTCAATATTTATAAACTTGGCGTTCAATAGCTGTAGATGTTGCTCCAGATTGGCCATTTTTGACACGCCGATTGCCTATATCGATCCTCACTTGAACAAAGCCAAATGCGGACTAAGCGCGGCTGGTAAACAAAACAAGAGAAGTATCAAATATGAGTGCTCTATTCGAGACTGCTCGACTGTGAGCCTTGCTTGCATAGTAAACAACAAATACGCAGATCGATTGACTTTCATGCCCTGTTCAACATTATTTATACTTCATGGGGTCTGTTTCGTCTTCCTTCCTTCTCCAATTTGGCATACATTTTCATAAACCCTATACCCTGATTCCCATTTTGAATGGGTTCGGCGTATAAGAGCAGTTATTGTTTACATACGACATAAAAGCTATGAAATGAATATAGCTTGCTTGAGCTTCACTGGAAATATTAACAAACATAACAGAAATATGAATAACAATTTTAAATAGTAAACATTGAGTATGAAAATCAGAGGCTACAACGGTAAAATCTGTTGATGGCTAATTGGGAATCCCACCAGTTCTGTTGAGCTTCAATACGCCTCTGTCAGTCATTGATTCACTCAGTCAGTCAATCAGTTTTTTTCATTTTCAATATATTATTGATCGAGTTCATTCACAAGAAAAGCAAAAGCCAATGCAAATACAAGAAATGCTTTTGAAATCTGATAATTGATAAGAGTATGAAAAAAACAACAGATGCGTATATACACACATGCATGTATGTATTCACATACATATATCTCTGATAAGCCCATTGATCTGTTGAGGCCCCCCAGAAAGTACTTGAAGATGTTTATAAATAAAAATGTTTCAAATTCTTTGCATACAGTTGACATTTTTATGAGCGCTCTTTACGATGCCAATTAGAGATGCTTATCCGGGCTTTGAGCGGATTTCGCTGGCATAGACTCCCCGTCGCAGTGGTCCCCAAAATAAACAAATTAATGTTATTATTATTTGCGTATACATGGGCTGCGTGTTGCCCTCAAAATGATAACGTACGTTGGGTGGCAGCTGAAGAGCTGTCGTAAAACTCTCCGTTCGATAATCGGGATCCAGATAATGGAGCGGCCTGGGAAATATAAGGCCTGCACACAGCCTGGGGTGCACATAGTGAAAGTGAAATTGACGAAATGATGAAGTACCTGCTAAGCGCCGTACTCCTTCTGGCCATCGGTCTGCAGCAGATCGAGGCGCACGGCATGATGCTGAGCCCGCCGAGTCGGTCCTCGCGCTGGCGCTTCGACGGATCTGCGCCACAGAACTACAACGACAACGAGCTCTTCTGCGGTGGCTTATATGTGGGTCACGCAACCAGCCGGATAAATGCTCCCTGCCCAAAACTCACAGTCTCTACTTTTCACTTCATCCATGCAGACCCAGGCAAACAATGGCGGCAGATGCGGCCTGTGCGGCGACAACTTCTCGGCTGCACAACCGCGCCCCAACGAGATCGGCGGCCAGATTGGCGGCAATGGTGTCATTACCAAGAGCTATCCAGCTGCCAATGCCATCACAGTTGGCGTCAAGATCACCACGAACCACCTGGGCCACTTTGAGTTCCATCTGTGCAACTTGGATGCCTTTGGGGGGGAGTCCGAGGAGTGCTTCAATCAGCATCGCCTGCGCTTTCCCGACGGCAGCGATCGACTTGAGATCGGCACCAAGGCTGGCGAGTTCGATGTGACCGTCATCCTGCCTGAGGGTCTCACCTGTCACCACTGCGTGCTCCGCTGGACTTACGTGGGTGGTAAGTGTGCTGCTCTGCTGCAGCTATATCATAGATATACATATTTGTCCATTGAACATCTGTGCAGCCAACAACTGGGGCAACTGTGGCGATGGCACTGGCGCCCTGGGATGTGGTCCCCAGGAGACCTTCAAGAACTGCGCCGATGTGAGCATCTACTGGGGCCGCAACATGCTAAAGGAAATGGCCCGTTCCGCTCCCGTTCCTGCCGTGCCAGAGGAGATCGACTCCGTAGAGGCTTGAGCAAGGCCAATGCCTGAACATTTTGTACTGAAACGAAGCCAAATATTCAATTAAACCAAAGTCGTTCACGGCCAGGCTACATATATTTAAACAAACTAATTAAGATGATAAACGACTTATCCAAGACATGAACCGGAACATCAATTGGTACATTGACCTAAATGTTGGTATTTTATTTATACCTTAGAGTTCAATTGATTACCCCAGACATCCACCGGAATTCTAGATTCGACCTATCTGTCGTTCTTTATACCTAAAATTTAACTTGCATTGAACTGCTTTCTTGCGTAGCCAAGACACACACCCTAATTATTGTATAAGCAAACTTGCTTATCCAAGACATAAATCAATCATACGTTCAAGGACAAGCTTAATAGAATGTCCTGACTCTTTATTTATACCTAAATTTGCTGAT